TTTTGCTATAGGGCATATGTGCTTGCTGGAGAGACAGAGAGAGACAAAGAGACAGAAAATGAGAAATCACCCCCTAAAGGGGATGGTGACTTTGTAATCCCTCCCTTTCATTCTCCTTTCAGAATTTTGGGCATGCATGCTCACGCACCTGGCCTGAGTTTCAAGCTACCAGGTCCGCGACTCAAGCCATGGTCAATTGCATGGGAGTCCAGCAACATAACCATTACATCTTCTGCTGGTCCCAACATTGTACATCTTTACAACATACAAGATGAATTTCCCCAGTATGAATACATTGTGTATTAGTCCAATCAAAGATATTACCATATACATTATCATCAATGGATAATTTTCCAGTTTTGTGTTCCCTGAATGTTTTACTTTTATTTTTTCTCCCTTGATGCCCTTCTTCACCACCACCACCCCCGTGCTTACCCTCTTCCCATATTGTCTCTAGTATTCACAGTTGTTCTCCATGCTTTTATACCTTCCAATCTTTGAATTTCTGCCACGGAGTGCAGACATTTGCTATATACTAAGCAGGGACATAAAATACCACTCTTTTATAGTCTTACTTGCTTCATCTAGCATTAAATTCTCCATATTTGTCTACTGTCTATCAAATGCCAGTCACATTGTTTTTTATGGTCGAGTAGTCTTTCATAGTGTATATGTGCCACACTTTTTCAATCCATTCATCTGTTCTTAGACATTTGAATTGGTTTCATATCTTAGCAATCAGGAATAGTGCTGCAATAAACACAGAACACACAAATGTTTTTCCAAGTGGAGTATATTCTCATCTTTCAGGTAGATACCCAGGAGTGAAATTGCTGGATCATATGGTAGTTCTATTTGTATGTCTTTGAGAAACCTCCATATTGTTCTCCACAGTGGCTGCACTAATTTACATTCCTAACAACAGTGTAGGAGAGTTCCCTTTTCACAAGGCAGCCTCATCAGTATTTATCATTCTGTTTTAATGTGAAGTGTGTTACATACTTTGTTGGATTTAAGCGTTTAACTTTATATGATAATTATGCAAATAACATCTGTGGGAATTTATCCTTAAAATCCAAAGGTTTGTTTTCTGTGGAAAAGTGGAAGAAATCATTGGGACCAGCAGATGGCATAATGGCTATGTCACTGGACTCCCACATAGTCAACTGCAGTTCGAGTCCCAGGCCTGGTGGCTTAAAATCATGCAGGGCACGTGTAAATTTGTGCCCAAGATCCCAAGAAGGGAATGGAGAAGAATGGATTGTGGCATGGCCATCCTGCCTGGGGGTGATTTCTTGCTTTCTGTCTTTCTGTTTCTCTCTGTCTTTCTGGCAAGTGCACGTGGCCTATAGCAAAAAACCTCTCCAAAAAAAAAAAAATAGTGGAAGAAATAATTTTTTCAATCTGTGTTACCTTTGTCCTTTTATCAAGATGTAAACGAGTGCAGACAGAATGTCTGCAGACCAGACCAACACTGTAAGAACACCCGTGGTGGCTACAAGTGCATTGACCTATGTCCAAATGGAATGACCAAGGCAGAAAATGGAACCTGCATTGGTGAGTGTCTGGCCGTTCAGTGGCGGAGGTCTATTTGTCATCACCGAGTGAAGTAAGGCACCCATTATGATTATGCCCAGCCTTGTGGTACTGTTGGCTGTGTGTGGGACTATGGACCTGGGAGCCACATGCCAAGCAGCTGCAAGTCCCAACCCAGTTGACCTGAAAATGCGCTGGGTACATGTACATGTGTCCAGGATGCTGGTAGAATAAAGGATGGAAGAAAATAGACCATGGTGTGATAGACTCATAGAGAGTATTCCTCTCTCTCTCTTTCTTTTTCTCTCTCTTTCATGCTCTATGATGAAAAGAAAAAAAAAAAACTATTAGTAATTAGAGTAAAAGCTAACTAGGAGTCTTTCTTTATCCATAGGTCTTCCTAACTTCTAGTATGATTGGTTGAGCTCTGGGGTCTCAGGGTCATGGTTAGCAGGTGGAAGCTCACCGTGGAGACAGAATCATTCAGAGCTCCATCAGTTGCACATTTGGCTCCATAATTAATATCCACATGAGTTAATATTATATCCCATTATTGTTTTTTTACATTTTTTAATACAGGCAATCACATTTTTTAGCTTACAAGGTGATCATTTCAATATGTGAACATTTCTCCCCGGTCTAGTTGATCAAAATATAACAATACTACCTCCCTGTCTCAACAATTCTGTCTCTATATCCCTCCTCCAATTTTTTTCCCCAGGCCCCACTCCTCCACACACACCACATCTGGCATTCACACCCATCTCTTGTGTTTGTACATCCTTTAGCCCGTCAGCTTCAGTTATATATCCCATTATTTTTAATATGTAATTTAGCATATATGTTTGGGGTTTCATAGGGTAGTTGAGAAAAAATTGTGTTTGTAGAGATTTATTTAAGTTTCAAAATAGAATTATTTTACAACTAAGTACATTTTAATTTTAAAATTGATTACCAGATAACAAAGTAAATTATATTCTTCCTAAGTTCATCCTTTGTGTGTCTGTTCTAGGTTAGCCTACTGAGTTAGCACATGTCGAATCAATGCCCAGGTAATAAAGTGAATTAGATTTCTGCCTGAGTTTGTTCTTTGTGTAACTATTCTGAACCAGTTTACCTGATTTGTCAAAGCTAGAAACTGCAGGCTGCGGGGTCTCCAAAAAGAAAAACTACCACAGATACCAGTCCTCAGCGAGTTACATACTGGGTATATTTGACCTACTTCATTCTCTCTGCCATAGGCCAAAACAAAACAAACAAATGACACACAACAAGGTGGAATGCAATGCTACAAAAGAGGTACAAATAAAATTGCACAAAATTATCCAAGACAGTGATCATATCTAGGAGGAGTGACAAGGAAAGATGTCATGGAAGTGATCACATTTAAATACAGGCATGGAGTCAGCTGGTGGCTTATAAGTAAGGTAGCTAGCTCCACATGGCCAACTGTGCAGTTTGAGTCCTGGGCCTGGCATTTGAAGCACACACCAGGTACATGTGAGTGTGTGCCTAACATCCCCAAAGGAGATAGAGAGGAGAAATGGCTGTAGATTCCCATGAGGGATACTTTCTCACTTTTTCCTCCCTTCTCTCCAGCAAGCCTATGCACTCCCTAGCAAATTTAAATATGCACCCATACACACACACACACACACACACACACACACACACACACGCATGAATGGAATTTCCTAGGTGGTACTATTAGGAAAAATAAAACAAGCAAGCCCTGCACAAGGGTAAAGAGAGGGACTTAGGGATAAAGTATTAAACCTCATCTTTTTGACAGCTATTTCTCTTTCAACACGTCTTATGATCACATGGAATTTGAGTTGACGCTTTTCATTGTAAAAAAGATAGCGTATAGGGGAGGGTGAGAGGAAGGAAATCAAAGGGAAAAAGAAAGAAGCAAAATAGTTAAGGGACAGAAAAATGGAAAATGATCTATTGATGATAACATATATGATAATATCTTTGACTGGACTAATATACAATGTATTCATGCTGAGAAAGTTCATTTTGTATGCTGTAATGCTATGTAGTGATTAAATGTATAAAAAAACTAAGAAAATCTCTTCTAAGATATTTATGAATAAAGTTACAGTATGGGGCTGGCCATAGCAAAATGGTTAAGTGCTGTGTGGAGGGAGCTGGATCCCACTTGGCTGCCCATGGTTTGAATCTCAGCATGCCCCACATCCTGATGGGATGGAGAAATGGTTATAAAAGGATTGCAGCAGGACCTCATCCCACTGGGGCAGCTTTAACTCTCTCTACCCCCTCCCCACACACAAGTACACATGCCATCTAGCAATTCAGGAAGAAAGTTAAGACAAGAGAATGCAAACAAAAATAAATCAAGTAACAGTATGTCTTCAGATTGTTTGAAAATAATATGATTCTATCAGATAAAGGAATATTGATCATTTGTTGGTACTTGGGATACATAGAAGATTTGTTTCTTGATAAAGAAAACAAAATTGGTGGAGAGGGTTGGACTATCAGATTTCAGATTCCTTTCCGTTCTAACACTATGGATGTGGATAAATATTTTTCTGAACTGGTAAGCGTAGTACCGACTCAGGGCATCATGTGCAGTTATATGGACCTGCAAATATTTTTAGGAATATTGACTCTGCAATGATATGTACAATTAACTAGAAAAGAGATTAGCTATAGGACCAGAACACTCTTTAAGAAGCTACAGCAGAAATTGAGCCAAGTGGGAACAGAAATGTGGAGATACATGGTTTTGATTGAAGAGAGCAGAAATGCCCAGCCTTAGCCAGTGAGGGAATACATTAAAGGTGACTCACATTTGCAGCCTGGTTGCTGGGAAACCAGGAGCGTGGGTATCTTCAGTCTGCGAGTGAGGATAAGACACTTGGGTATGCCGGGCTTGAAGTACTGGTGAAACAGCTCAAGATGTCCAGCCAGTAGCTGCTAACAGAACCGAAGATCTGCATCAGTGTAACACTCTCGCTCTAATCTGCGTAAACACTAACCAGTAGTATAAATAAGACAGACGGGGACAGCTCTGTGGCCTGGTGTTTGAGGCAGCCAGTTCCCACACAGCTAACCCATTCATTGGTTTAAGTCCTGGACCTGAGTGTTCGAAAAGCGCTCTAGGTGCATGTGCATGCATGCCCAGAATCCTGAAAGCAAGGAGAGATGGAGGAGAAGGAATTGCAGCATGACCATCCCCATGGGAAGGTGCTTTCTTCTCTCCTTTTCTCTCTCCTTTGTCTCTCTGGTGAATACATGAACCCTATAGCAAAAAAACAAACAAACAAACAAACAAAAAAACATATAAAGTAAAATGGCAAAAGAAAAGGGACTATTGGGGTGGGGGGCTGAGAATAAAACTCTTTCCATAGTAGAGATCAGGAGGAGGAAAGGGAGTCAGTTAATATGTGGCAGAGGGGGCTGGATGGTGGCACAGAGGTGAAACTTGATGCTCCACAAGGCTGACCCACTGTTCCTGGTTTGTGTCCGGAGACTTCCCTGAGTACACTGGGCATGCTTATGACTGAAACTGGGAGTGAATCACAGTATTGAAACACTTTTGGGAATTCTCTCTCTCAATAAATAAACAAGCAAGAAAGTAACAGATCTGGGACTTGAACCCAGGTTTTCTGGCTCTAAATGATACCTTGATAAGATATTTAACTCCATGGTGAGAATTACAACCTTTGGCATTTCTGCACAAAGTTAATTTTCAGTACAATGTCTTTAGGTTTTAAAAGAAGAAATATTATTACTTTTTATTGCCTCCATGTCTATAGATATTGATGAATGTAAAGATGGGACCCATCAGTGCAGATATAACCAGATATGTGAAAATACAAGAGGCAGCCATCGCTGTGTGTGCCCAAGAGGTTATAGATCTCAAGGAGTTGGAAGACCCTGTATGGGTAAGTTCACAAGATCCTTATTGAGTAATAAAGCTACTGTGTAATTACCTAGCTTATCGTCCTGCTTGAACCACTCTTTATCCTCAGGTGCTCCCTTGCTACAGTTAGAAGGTATGTAAATTGATTTGTTTAACCCATAACATAAATTGGATAATTCTTCGGAGACTTAGATACTGAGTTCAATTTCCAGTGACATTTCCAGTGACAATCACTTACTGAATGCTCATTTTACATCGCTTATGTCAAAGTGAGGTTCTGTTATAATTGCCGTGGAAACTTAATTATCAAGGATATCTCATTGATTATTTTTTATTTTTCTATGCACATAATGAATGTTAGCATAATACATTTTATTAAATCATGATATATACTTCTATATAGGATGAATGTTAGGGTATGAGGGATTGAAATGTGAACATAAAATTTAAACAAATGTGTAATTATTACTTTACCATATATTTAGCGCTTCGTATATGCCATCCCCTGTGCTTTAAATCATTTCATTCAGTTCTCATAATTGTTTGTCTGCTGCAATCTTAGTTATAATTGAGTATAAAGTAAGACAGATGATAGAAAAGTAGGAAAGTAGGAAAGTAACCATATGCTTTCAAAATATTTGATGCATTTATAATCAAGAAATTGATCTATCAAAGTATATTCTTCCTCAGAATATTTAACTGAAAAAATATTGTGTGGGCTATAAATACTAATTTCTGAGTTTCATGCAATGCTTTTCAAATTGAAGATCTTGATTGTCTACTTAAAAATTATTTATTGAAAATTGTCCCATAAAGACTTAATTCTGTCTTTGTATGGTTCCTAACATAGTACTTTGAATATAGTAAATGTTCAGACTAATGCCCATACTAAAAACTCTTCTAAAAGAAATACTTTTGAAAAGAAAGAATCCATATCATTTTAGTCTACTATTTAGATATTGCAATTTATGTAGAATTTAACATCTTGTTCAGCCATAACAGTAACTTATCAAAATGGAATATACTTATTTGTTCACTAATTTAACCAACATTTGAATGTTAGAGACAAGGCTTGGGAATAATGCAATGAAGAAGGTACAACCATTGCTTTAAAGAGATTAAAAATATTAATTTTAATTTCTGCCTACTAACCTCATTTTTAAAGCCAAGTTACCCCTTTTTTTCTTTTTATATTGTTTTCTTTCTTGCCACTATACTAATAAGTTAAAGAATTTGCTTTTGAGCCCTGGTTTTCAATCACTTTTTCAGTTTATAGGATGAGTTGTAAATTCTTCATATGTTAACATAGAAATTTTTTAAAAAAACTGAAATCTTTATGGATTGTGTATTTATATGCAAATAAATGATTCTGTGTTTCTACTTCCTTCTTTTTAATCTTTTGGTGAAATAAAAATATACTTGGCTCAGTTATTAATTCAAAAAAGGCAGAAAAAATGTAAAAGTCTCTAGGTATGCCAGTATCCCTGCATCTGAAATTTGCAATAGTATAATTACAGACACCAGTGAGTACTATTAGAACTAAATGCAGGCTAGAGATGTGGTATCACTCTTCCCTCTGCCAACATAATAAAGATCTGCATTAGCTTCTGAACTCTGATTTCTCTGTATGCAAGACCACATGACCCCATGTGACTCTTTCTATTTCTATTAGCAATGATTTGGCACATCATGGCAAGCTTATTCCTTCATTGATTGAACACATGTTTATTGGGCACCTGATTGGCCCTGGATGGTGTTGTAGGTTGTAGGATTACAGCGCTTAATAGGCACACTGGTTTTCTGTATTCATGGAGTTTCTCTTCCATGAAGAAAAACAACAATTACCAGCCAAATAAATAATCCAATTTCAGAGAGTGAAAACCACTCTAAGAAAATATAAAACAGTGTGAGGGAAACGTCACCTACGTTTGGGTGGTAGCACTGGGATCCAGGCAGCTTCTCTAAGATACTGAATGAAACAAAGGGGTGGCCACCATGTAAAGGTCAGTATATTCCTTAGTGCAAGTATATTCCATGGTGAGGGGACCATGGGGCAAGGTCCTTTAAAGAGGAAGGCCCCGGTAATGATGAGAAACGACCATGCGACAGTGCTGTGGGAGCAAAGTTAGGTAGAGAGGGTAAACAGGCCATGAAAAAAGAGTTTAGATTTTCCTCAAAAATGTGTGATAGGAAAACCTAGAAGATCTTGGGTAGATAAGCAGTGCAATATGATTTCTATTTGGAAATGATCACCCTGGCTACTGTGTGGAGAATATATCTTCGGGCAAAGATGGCTCCTAAAAAGCTATGAGCACTTACATATAAATAAGCAAAGAAACATAAAAGTCATTCCATATCTATAAAAGTCACATCTAAATATATTAAAATATTTCCAACATTGCCAACCAGTTAGGAAAATCTTGAATCCATCTGAAAGATCGATTTGTCTAAAGAGAGAAAAAGCAAGTTAAGCAATATAAATTTTGAATATGAACACATATTATGTGTTAACAGATACGATTGAGACTATTTTTTTATAATTGCAGTTTCAAAAACATTGCATTGGTTTGGTATTTCACACTCTTTTGTACCTTTTTTTCCCAGAGGAAGACATTCAAATGTAATGATTGAGACTGTCCCTACCCAGCTGAACTCAGAAATCTGAGTGTTGTGTTTATAGATTTAAAATGCCAATATCACACTTACACTTACATATAAAATATATGCCAACTTAGCCCAAACTGATACATTCTGAAGTTGGTTTTTTTCCATCAAGGAGATAGAGTTCATTAGGTTTTGAGGCCACCTCAACTGGAAATGAAAGGAGGATGGATTCACAGAACCAGGGTCTGGCCTTCTGAGCCCCGGTTACAATGTGAATATTCAAATTAAACTCATGCATGGGAAGCCACACTCAGAGAGAGTCAGAATCTTACCACTTTTTTTTTCTTTTTTTGTAGAGGTTTTTGCTATAGGGCGCGTGCACTCGCCAGACAGAGAGAGACAGAGAGACAGAAAGCGAGAAATCACCCCCCAGGGGGGATGGCCACACCACAATCCCTTCTCCTCCATTCTCCTCTCGGGATCTTGGGCACGCACGCACACATGCCTGGCGTGAGTTTTAAGCCACCGGGTCTGGGACTCAAACCGCAGTCAACTACGTGGGAGTTCAGCAACATAGCCATTACGCCAACTGCTGGTCCTAGAATCTTACCACTTTTCATAGATGAATGATAAACGCTTTGTCAGATGTTCAAAACAGTTTTGAGGAGAGATGACTGTGCTCCTGACTTTGGAGAGTAGCATAATGTCTTCAGTTTGTTTCACAGATTGATTCTTTATCCCTGTGTTTATGTATATGTGTGTGTGTTTTTTTTCTCTCTCTTTTTTATGTCTCATGGCACACGAGCAGACATTAATGAATGCGAGCAAGTGCCTAAACCTTGTGCACATCAGTGCTCCAACACCCCCGGCAGCTTCAAGTGTCTCTGTCCCCCAGGACAACATTTACTAGGGGACGGGAAATCTTGCGCTGGACTGGAAAGGCTGCCAAATTATGGCTCTCAATCCAGTAGCTATAACCTGGCACGGTTCTCCCCTGTGAGAAACAACTATCAACCTCAACAGCACTACAGACAGTACTCACATCTCTACAGCTCCTACTCAGAGTATAGAAACAGCAGAACTTCTCTCTCCAGGACTAGACGGACTATTAGGAAAACTTGCCCTGAAGGCTTTGAGGCAAGCCTTGACACATGTGTAGGTAAATGTCAGCTGTCTTACATTTCTTTTTCTGTGGGCTCACTTACTGACCAGAGTAAACATGTGGACACCACCTCTAATTGTTTGGGTTCCGTAAACTACATCTGATCTCAAGTCTGGGGTGATGCAAAGTTTCAAGACATTTATTGTGGCACCTTAGACTATTACAAACTTCATTAAAATAAATGATGTATTTACATGTGTGCATTCTAATGGTTTATTGTGTTGTATAAACAGCTTCTCTTTATGATCACCTCTGAAAGTGTTACTAAATTTAATGCTGTAGGGCCAGTAGATGGTATAGTGCTTAAGGTGCTGGACTCCCACATGGTCGACCGTGGTTCAAGTCCTTGAAACTCACGGCAGGTATGTGTGTGTGCATGCCCAAAATCCTGAGAGGAGAATGGAGGAGAAGGGATTGTGATGTGGTCATCCCCCTGGGCGATGATTTCTCACTTTCTTTCTCTCTCTCTAATAAGCACACATATCCTATAGCAAAAGTCTGTCAAAAACAAATTAATTAATTAGTAATAAATAAATGCTGTATGGAAGTAAACATCAATGGCATCCAGAATATATATATTTTTTAAAAGGATATACTTATTGTCACATAATATAATGCCATCAGATTATGTCTACCTCTGATGGATTCAAAAGCAGTGGATTATAGGTGAAAGTTTTAGCTACCGGCTCAACTACATGGTTGTTCTGTATGTCAGCATCCTGTAGCCCCACAGCCCTGCTCACTGTGGATGTTCTCTGTTCAGTTATTTTGTACGTCTGAATGTCACTGGAGAGACAATGTGAGCCAGGACAAAATAACTTAATTTCCACCACTCTACAATGTGCGCCTGCAGTATCTTTCTTTATCTAAACTCACAAGTCTGTAATTTCATTTGGTTGCAAAAGTGAAATGTAATTTCCAGCTTACAAATTAAGACCCTTTTGGTGAAGTGGCAAATGTTACCATCTGTCATTCATTTAACATAGTTTTCTGTGAGTATTCACAGTCTGCATATCATTGAGCTCAGCACCAAGGGGAGTTGGCAAGCAGTAGTTAGCCCTACTACTTGTTAGAGATGGAGGAAGGAAAAAAAGAGAATAGGGAAAAAAGGAAGAAATTCTGTTCAAATTCAAAGACCCCTATGCCAACCGCGTTTTCAAACAGTGCTCTGAATGGTCTACCCTTTGTTCTCTCCTAAATATACTTTATCTTACACATTTTACAGAACATTTTAAACCTTTTTTCTTTTTAATTTCATTTTTTTCTTTCCTTTTGCTACCTTTCTCCAAGGCCTGTTCCTATGCCAGTATCTTCTCAGACATGCGTATTGTTCAACCTTGCATGGACCAATCCTCAGATCACCTCTACTCAGATATTCAATCCCTTTGGACACTCATTCTTTACCTTTGTTCCTTAGGTTCATGTTTCAGTGAAACTTTTCTGACTAGATATCCTGGCGTATCTATAGCTTAATATGATGGCTATGGAAACATCTCCCTTGTGATCAGCTTCTCAGAATTGTGAGCAATGCTGGTTTCTTCTATTCCTTTTGCGTCAAATATAATATTCATTAACAATACTCCCCACTTTGTCTCATATGGTCAAACACTACTTAAATTACCAAGTCTGTGGACCCCACCATTCTGACCAGTACATTAAACAGCACTCTCAACCTGTCCCCAGACACTCAGAGTATTGGTAGTTTTTCATGTGCATGGTTTTAACTCTTTGTTAGTTAATTTTTTTTAACTGTTTTTTGTTTTATAAATTTTCCAGAGGTCGTATGTACTAGCTAGAGAGAAAGAGTGAGAAAGCATTGCCCATGGGAAATGATCATGCCATAATCCCTTCTCCTCCATCTCTCCCTCTTCATGATTTCGGGTGCACACATACGCACACCAAGAGTGTTTTTAAAGTTGCCAAGTCCGGGACTCAAACAACGCAGTCAACCATGTGGGATCCAGCTGCCTTAACCACCACACCACTGGCTGGCCCTTTGTTCTTTTATTGACAGAATTAACATCTGACATGTTGTCTTTTGAAATCTCTTCCAAATAGCCATTCCTACTGGAAAGATTTTACATCCCTCTCTCTCAACTTTCATTTTAGAAAAGTTATTTTATTTTCTTTTACCATTTTCCTCCTGCCCCCATATCTCTGTTTATGCTGTGATACATAAATTGAGCCCCATCTCCCATACTAGACACCATCTGGCTGGTTCCTTCTAAATTATCTGAAGGTCCAAGTCATTTGTTTTTCTTTTTAATTTGCTATAGGGTGTATTCACTCACTGGAGACAGACAGAGAGAGAGTAAGAAGTCACCCCCCCAGGGGGGATGGCTATAGCGCAATTCCTCCTCCTCCTCCTCCTCCTCCTCCTCCTTCATTCTCCTCTCAGGATTTTGGGCATGCACAGACTGGTGTGATTTTCTAACCTCCAGGTCCAGGACTCAAACAGCACAATCAACCATATGGGAGCCAGCTGCCTTAACCTTCACAACTGCCTGCTGGCCCAGTTCAAGTCATTTTAAGAAAACTTTTCCAGATTAAAAATCCAGTTTTCGGGACCAGCAGTTGGCATAATGGCTATGTCGCTGAACTCCCACTCCCATGTTCAATCGTGGTTTGAGTCCCGGACCCTGTGGTTTAAACTCATGCGGGGCACGTATGCGTGCATGCCCAAGATCCCAAGAGGAGAATGGAGGAGAAGGGATTGCGGCGTGGCCATCCCTCCTGGGGGGTGATTTCTCACTTTCTGTCTCTCTGTCCGTCTCTGTCTTTCTGGCAAGCACACACGCCCTATAGCAAAAACCTCTCCAAAAAAAAAAATATATATATATATATATATACCCAGTTCTCTTTTTCTTTACCAGTATCTATGGCAGAAGCTGCATCACAGTAGAGTCCCACAAGTGGTTTGTCTTTCTGCTTATATTACACCGATCTTACGTTATTAGAATTAGCTTTCTTAGACAATTTTCCACTGTTGAGGCGACCATTATTTCAGTGAGGATCAATCTTGGATTATCAAGAGTAAACTTTTACAACTAATCATCTACTGAAGATTTAAGTTTCTTTGGAACCATTACCAGGCTTAGGCATTTCTTAAAATAGAGTATTTAGTAATATTGGGACTAATAAAGAAATTCACACCAAGATTGCAGACAGCTTTGGAATTATGTAACAAGAACACCAAATGCCTTTAATTAACTATCTGGAATAGACAAGTTGCAAAAGATTCAAATTCTCACTATGAAATTTTGTTTAAACTTGGACTAAAATTTAGCTTTTGCAGGAATCGAACCCAAGTCTGTACAGAAAGAATTAACTATCTGCCATTCATTTATTCAGTTTCTTTCTCTTTTTTTTCTTTTTTTGGGGAGATTTTTGCTATAGGGTATGTGCGCTCACCAGAAAGACAGAGACAGAGAGACAGAAAGCAAGAAATCACCCCCCTAGGGGGGATGGCCATGCTGCAATCCCTTCTCCTCCATTCTCCTCTTGGGATCTTGGGCATGCATGCACATGCACCCAGCGTGAGTTTAAGCCACCAGGTCCAGGATTTGAACCATGGTCAACTACATGGGAGTCCGGCGACATAGCCATTACACTAACTGCCGGTCCCCATTTATTCAGTTTCTGTGAGTATCTACATTTTGCATGTCGTTGAGCTAGGCACCAAGGGGAATTAGCAAACAGAAAGGGTCCCATTATTTGGTACATGGAAAAAGAAAGGGAGGAAGAAAGGGAAGAGAGAAGCAGAAAGGGACAGAAGAAAGAAGTTCTGTTTCAATGCAAGGGCCACACTATTATTTATTATTATGCCAACATACGTTTTGTCCCATTTGGTGAGATAGTACCTAATTACCAAATCTGTGGACTCCACTGTTTCTGCTAATATATTACACACGTTAATTTGACCATTTAATTTAATAAATTTAGAAGCAATAATATCTCATTGCTGCTGAATAGAAATAATACTTGGGGCCATTTCAAGATCCATATTTTGGGAAGTTCCATATTAACTACTTGGAGCTCAACATTTAAATCTTTGTTGTTAGTTTATGGTAAAGGAGATTTTTAAAGGGAATAAGTCATAATAACATTCCTACATTATGGAATAAATGCTTTGGTTAACAAAATTATGCAAAAAACATTGACATAAATATTTGATGAGTGTTTATTATTAACAGACTTTAAATCATTGCGATAATATTTTCAACATGTGCGAACATGTGAAACGAACACGTCATTTGGTCCGAGTCATCTCCCCATTGCCACTTGGCTGTGTCTATGGATCTACCCCAGAGCACTCCTGCTCCTATTTCTTGTCATAGTCTCTTCTGTTTTCCAGGGTGGGTGTGGGCTCAGAGAATATGACTAGATTTTAATACTTAGTCAAACTAAAGCCTAATTGAAACAAGAAATTTGAGGCCTCCCAAATCATATCCTTTATTCTGAAAGCAAAGACTAACTTTGAATTACCGTCTATCTCATTCTCCTTTTCTTTGCTGTTTTTGCAGCTATTTTTTAATGAGTGATAACCCCTTATTCTTTATAAAATGCATTCCCCTATAACATGCTGTATGAACTTTCCAACATATCTATAAATTAGGACAGACAGTTTCAATGTCCGTCTTTGGCAGAGAGTCACTGAGATCCTGAGAAGTTACATGGCTATTGGAAGGTGACACGCTACTACACATATGTACACATGCACTTGCTGCTGGTCCTTTACAATTGCATTAAAAGTTTGATGAATATTTCTATCATAAAAATGAAAACATTTCTGTTTCACGATATCCATGAGTAGGCAAGTTATATATAGGTGTTAAAAGGAGAGACAGCTACAGTTTAAGTAAAATAAAATCGAATTATTCTTTCTCCAACTACTCTCTAAAGAAATGTTATCCTTTGGGTAAATTCTACTATCTGTCAAGAGTTTAGTACTTGAGTGGTTTAGAATCTTGTACAAATCTGTTTTCCTCTTGTCATTTCAGTCTTCTTTTTTTTAACTAATCTAAAAATTAGCCAGTTTGGAGATTCAGCTTATATAAGGAGGCTTCAAAAATTTCATGGAAAAGGGGATTGAAATACGAGTTTATTTTGGTGCAGAATTTTTGAAATCCATTCTGGGTTTTTTTGTTCCATAATATGTGTTTTCTATGAACTTCTTGAAGACTCCCCCCCCCACCAGGTATGCTCACACACAGGAGAAATGTTCATATGCTGTGACATACTACAGTGTATATTGTACTGTATTTAGTATTTTATATAAAAACTGATCTTGATATAAAACAGCTCTGACATTTTTTAACCCAAGTGTGAATTCCCCAAGAGATGTTTCTCTGGCACCTCGCCCTTGTTTATACTTGACTGTGTCAGTTTCCGCCTGGGTTGTGCCTGACTGTGCACTCTGCTTCCATTCTGAACAGATATTGATGAGTGTGAAAGTAGAGACACCTGCCAGCATGAGTGTAAAAACACCTTTGGAAGCTTTCAGTGTGTCTGCCCACCTGGGTATCAGCTCATGCTCAATGGAAAAACATGCCAAGGTAAGAAAAAGAGGGAAGGTTTATTACTGCCACTTGACTTCAAACCGACATAGGAGAGTGTGAGAAGGAGAGTCTGGAATGATTATTCTCCTAGTCCGTTTCTCTTCCTTTCCGTTCCTGTTGTTCAAACTTACATTTAACCATTACTTTTACAAATAGAAGAAAAAAAAAAAACAAATATAAACAATCGAGACACATTTTTGATTTGGTCTTACTAAAAAGAGCAAGAAAGCTCAAACCAGTTCACGTTATACAGGTTTTGAACTTAATGGGATCAGGCCCTTTCAAACATTTTTTTCACAGTTCAGCTGAGATGGACATGGACATGAGAAGAGTACTCAGTAAATTTTCTTTAGTGTTAGGCATGATTTTATTTTATTTATTGCCAGAGGGGGTGTGTGCTTGCCAGAGAGAGAGAAAAAAAGAAAACATGCTGCAATCCTAAAAAGATCATGCTGCAATCCTATTTTCTCCATTTCTCCTTTCAGTCAAGATTTCGGACAAGCATGCACACATGCTTGGTGTGTTTTTCAAGCTGCCAGGCCAGGTGCAAACTGCAGTCAGCCCTGTTAGATTTGGCTCCCTTAATCACTACCTTATAGGACCGGCATCGGAGGCATTACTTTATATTTTATGTATCTCAGGGTTACTTTTAGAGTGATCAGTGGCTAGTGCATAGACTAATCTATTTTCGAGTCTACAAATGATATGAAATAATCATGTACTAGCATTGCAGTACATGATGTCCCAGTAAAATGCTGTCCTTCCCTTTAGAAGTTTATAGTTGCAGGCCTAGCTGCAGTGGCACATGCTGCTAAAACACTGTGCTCTGAAGGCTGGGATCACATGGGAGGCCTAGGTTTGATTCCTAATCCAACCTGAAGGCCAGGTACGGCGTCACATGCTTGTAATCCCAGGGACTTGGGAGGCTGAGGCAAGAGGATCACAACACAGCGAGACTTGCCAAATGTGTGTGTGTGTGTGTGTGTGTGTGTGTGTGTGTGTGTGTGTGTATAGTTTCATGGAGACCATGTAAATTAGTTTAAATACTAGCTTATAGGTCTGTGACAGAGTTTTTGAGTTTTAGACAAAGTATAGTGATGACCAGAAGTCAAAAATATTAGCGTCCTTAATAGTCAAATTTAGGGGACTAGCAGGTGGCATGGTGATTAAGGCCTTGGACTCCCACATAGCTGACCGTAGTTCAAGTTCTGAACCTGGTGTCTTGCTTTTTCACTTTCTCTCTCTCTCTCTGTCTCTCTCTGGTGAGTGCATGTGCCCTATAGCAAATTACAAAATAATAAATTAACTTTAGAAAATCAAATTTAGGTTAAATTCACTCCTCTGTGGGATTCACAAGAGATTTACTAGAATCCAGCTCATGCGAAGTGCGTTTGGGAGAGGCCAGGGTAATTGATAGCTTTTGCTCAGTTACTATGAACCCCACACACCCATTTACCCATTCTCCAAGAGGGAGCCCTCCCTGGATCACGTGGACTGGAAAACATGAACTCTGTAATAGCCTTTGCTCCCAGCCATCAATCACCGCACATTTATTAAGACCCCGCCCCATGCAGAACATTGCACTGAGATCTGAAGAACCAGAAGAATATATTTAGATTATGGTGGTATGCTTTGCGAAAGCATCTATCATCTCATTTTAATCAGCACTACAAGTAAGGCAAGGGCCCTCATTTGTACCCATGCTACAGGTCATAAAACTGACTGCATGATCACATGAGCCTCCGTGTCCTGGAACAGTCAAGGGCGGAAGCAGGACTTGACCTCGGATCTCATCTGTCCAGAAAAGTCCTTTGTACCTCTCAGGTTCTGTAAACAGTGGAGGCATTTCAGTAGTAGCAGGGTCGGGGAGACCATGAGTTTTATTATTTTTCCCAGTTTTTTAACATAAGAATCCTTTTAGAGAGTGTCAACACCCAGCACTAAAACTACACAAGGCTGTGTAGTGCCCTGGCACCAAGGAAGGAAGAAACACTAAAGCACTGGGAATAATCAGCCAAACTGCAAAAACTCTTAGCCAGACTTTAAAGGGTGTGCTGTATGCGCCTTAGAAAGATTTTTTTTTTTTTACCTTTTTTATGTCAGTCTGTTTTTTAATTGCCCTTGTCACTCATTTATTCTAAACTCTTCAGCTTTCAGTTGTGCTTGAGAGAGTGGAAAATAATGTCAGCAAATCAGAAACAGGTGTCATCTGAAATGTTTGCAACATAAATGGGTTACATATTTTTGTGGTTTTCAAAAAGACTTGAGAGAAAACAATTATGCCTTTTAAAGAAGTCTTTAAAGAATAACTTGGAGTCTTTTTATAGCTTTAGAAAGTGTTTGAGGCATTTATGAGGAACAAAAGACTTCATTTCATTCACATACAATTTTTTTAAAGCTTTATACATTACTGATAAAAATGTTAGTAATAAAAAGGAAGTTAAAAAGTGGTGGTAAATGTATTACAAAATGAAAAGAAAAAAATCAAAAGTATAACCAGTCAAGATTTGCCTAAAAACAGAGAAAAGAGACTAAAAGATCTTTATGCTCATTTTATGACCACTAATCTAATTTTTAAAATTTAGAAACATTATATTAGCATTGCATTTTAAATGAGTGGTCTTATCTCTTCATGTTTTTAATGAGTAACCTATAATGTTTATGAAGAATCTGAGTTACTTATACTTTATATAAGACAAATGTTTCAAATACGTTTATCCTAACTTTATATATATATTTATATATATATATCCAGAAGCACTTGGTTAAATGCATTCATATGTTCTAAACTGTTCATGTAAAGCTTTTTCAGCTCATTTGGGATTCTTTTTTTGTAGCATAACATTTATGTTACAAAATACCTATATTTGTCTATCATACTAATATTTATGTAGTATTTAATAAAAACCAGACATCACCACATTGTTCATTAAAAGCCAACAACACAATTTCTTTTTTTTTTTTTTAAGTTTCTGTATTTATTTCTTCAGTGAGAGAAAGGGACACAGAGAGAGGGAGACAGAAAGAGAGAGGCAGGTATTCCCAGCAGGGTCGTTCCCAATAGGGCCTTCATGGCACAATCCTCTCCCAGACTCGGCCAACCTGGTTGGTCAGCCTGTGTGTGCCTGGCATGCTCAGGGAGGTCCCACAGTACAGACCCGGGACCTTTCCCCTGCAAGTCCGGTCGCATTACCACTGCAGTGCCAGTCAGTCTTCAGTAATCCAGCTTCTCTTATTTCTTTTCCTGCCTTTGTTTTATTTTTTGTTTTGTTTTGTTTTGTTTTGGTATTAAACAGTGTTCTGTGGTCTTTGTTTAGAACAATGAGTAGAGTGAACGAGTAGAGCGGATAGAGTGAGTATAGATAGATAGATATAGTAGAGCGAATAGAGTAGGATGATTAATCCCGAGGCAGCCGTCATGGACCAAACACAGAGGACAGGCACTTCCCGGTAACGCAATATTCCTAAGCATGTAGGGTGTGTCCGGATGCTGGTCTCCATACTGCCATTGTCGCAGGCTGCAGCCCACTAGCGACCACACTTCTACAAGAGTTCCCTGTAAAATTAGAGCTGAAGTTAAATTTGGAGGATGTGCATGAAGGGAAACTTTTAATGAGAGAAAGGCAAATAAGGTTAATTGAATTTCTTTCACATTTTCCAAGAGGGCTTTTCACTTCATACTGAGACAAGCTCTGTTATCAAGAAGCTAAAGCACTTCTGACAGATGTATTCTAATTAGAAGCTGTCTCTCAGAGACACAGAGCAAGACTGAAATAAAAACTCATTTCACACTGTGTTTCATTCCTGTAGG